TTAAAATTCAAAGAAATTAAATTAAATTATCAATTAGGACTATTTTATTCATTATCCTCAGTTGAGGATTACTAATCTTTTTCACTCCCTTCTTTTTCTTCCTGATATTGATTTTTTTACTTAGCTTCATTTTTCTTTCTACTGTAAGCTTCTAAGATTCCATCTTCTTCTTTCTCATCATATTTACCATTTCTACCTACTAAAGATGATGCTTTTGAATCTTCTTGGCTATTTTTAAGCTCAGAATGATCCCTACTATCTCTTGAGCTTGCTAGAGTACTTGTACTAGTAGCCCCATTCCTTTCTGAGCTGTTAACAGTTACTAGATTGTTCTTTGATTCTTCATGTTACCTTAGTCCATCATAGATCATAATACTTTGTTGTAAACCCTGCTATCCAATATATCTGGCTTACATCCTTAAATTCTTAGAAATCTCTGAATTTTTGTTGCTATCTCTTTCAAATAGCTGATTTCTTGCTGTCAACAGTTTTTACTTTTCCTCTGATGAATTTTGAATTTTATCAATGATGTATCTAACTCCTGAATGACTGAATGTCAACACCATATTGCGGTTATGAGAATTATTTGATGGTATCAATGGTATAAGACAGTGATTGCTCTTCACATCAAAGTATTCTACTAAAGTGCTGTGAGAAGTATTAACTACCAGATCAGGAGGACTAAGATTCTGTTTAGTGATTGCAGACTCAGGTTTTTTCTTGCCCTACTTCTTTTTGTTCTTTTTATCTCTCTTTTTATCCTTCTTCTTTTTCTTTTCCTTCTTCTTGCTCTTTTTACTATCTTTTTTATTGTCTTTTTTCTTACCCCCTGAATCTTCTTCCCTTAGCTTCTAATCTATACTTTTCATGAGCTCTAATTCCTCCTCTATGCTATACTTATCTGGCACATCATTATGAGATCCAATCATGAAACCCCAACATTTACCCATTTCATTAAAACAAGGGCTACCTTAGCTTCCTACTCCAGCACTATTAACAACAGTTGTAACACTTCCATAAGATTTTACTTTGCCAAAGCTAGCTGTCTTGTGCATACTTATCATAAGATTTTCATTTTTACTCACTCCTTTAGAACATCCATACTTTATTTTATATTCCCTAATGTCTTAATCTGGTATTGGTGTACTAAATCCTATTGAAACCATAGTTTAATATCTTGAATCTGGTTTCATATAATCAATTACTTTTATCTAACGGTCTTTTAAAAATTACTGATCTATATCAAATATTGCCATATCTAATGATGGTATCATTTGATAGTAAAACTCACTATCTATAATTTCTGAGCATCTTGAATTATTAATAAGCCATTCTCTCCTTGCAGCTAATGCTAACTTATTGGGTTTAATTCTAGTAATAACCTTAAAATATTTTTCAAGAAGGTAGCTCTTTATGTTTTTTGAGACTAATGTTTTATTCTCCTTTAAATATTTATATATTAATGGTAGAATGTCTTTATTTCCAAATGTAGCAAATGAAATTATTTTAGCTTCTTTCTATTCTAGATGCTTGATGAATTCTGGACTTTAAATTACATTAAGACAAGACAAAAGAAATTTCTGGCCAGCTATCTTAATTAGGAAACCAGTGCTAGCCATTAACTTAAATTTAACCTTAAGATCATCAAGCTCTAATTCTCTATATAGTACTATAGAATATATTCTTGCAATACCCCTGTGAATTTTATACTTTTCTAAGACATTTTGATTATTTATAAGCCATCTATCTAAATCTGTGTTATATAGAGTTTCAGCTCCATCATCTACTGTTTATAAGGGATTTGGATTTTATCCAAGACCCTAGCCCATATTTAATGGTTTTTTAGTCCTCAAGTCTAGTCTCTCATCTTCATAGTCATATTTTGAAAGAGAATACTGTATTGTAGGATAAAAACTAGGATTCTCGCCTTTCATAGATATCTTCAATTCCTTTGCTGATTTTACTTCATTTGTGTAGCAGCATCTAAGTTGAGTTTGTATTCTATTCATTTCTCTAAAGTTTTCAACTGTAAATCCTTAGAGAGTCGATAATAGAGTCTGTAAGTTATTTCCATTGCTCTATGGAGTTCCATTCCCAAGCTGAGTTGGATCAAATTCATTATTTGAATAAATATCGAAAGGGTCTAATTTGAATGTTGGCTTTTTCTAATTTCCTTAAGTCTAAGTAAAATTGCTTTGCTCTAATAGCATATTGTATAATTGAGTTTAGGTAGAATTTCCTTTGCCATCAACCCCTTATTATCTTAGCTATTATAATTATTGAGACGCTGCGATTTGCTGGCGCAATTGTTGGTTTGTTAGTGGTCTTCTATTATCTTCAAAGTTTGACATCAAAATTGATTTAATTAATTGTTGTTTACACTCCCTTTTCTACACCAAATTGATCGATATGGGGTTTTGGGGTTTTGGGGTTTTGGGG